GGCTAAGTTGATAGTACTCAAAACAAGAAAATATTTCGCTAAAATATGTATAGAAATAGGCAAATTTAAAGCTATGACGTATAACAACTTATATTTTTCCAATTCTTTCCAAAACTTGTGTTAATCTACTACCATAAATATAAAATCTGTCTCAAATTCACGATGTGGGAACACTTGACTCAACGACATTCGAGCAAGTCATTATACCCGACCCCGATATACTGGTACGAGCTGTGTATCTGGCTTGTATTTTGTATTATTCAAGCGTCTATCCCAAGGGATGGCCGCAATCCGAGTGGGAGAGAAAACTCAAAGGTAAACAAAGTCTAGAAATTAAATTAAACAATAAAAAATATTGCGTTACCCTCACGCCGAACTCGAGCAAACAATGGTCATAAATATTAATACAGAAAAGGACTTGATGGACGGCAATGCAACGGTACGAGGACTGAATCTGAAATTTTGGGTGGACGACGATAATAAAAGAAGAGATTCAGAAAACTACGAGTAAGACCTATCTGGAATAAATCCTGAATTTGGAAATGTTTCTAGATAATTCATGAATACCTTCGGTTATTAATATTAATGTTAGAACCAGTTTGCTTATTGTTATAATACCAGAACTAACACAAAATATTTTACCATTGGGCGAGTAGTACTTTGAGTTTTATGCCAATGAGCGTATGAACATATATAATTAATTACAATATTAAACTAATCATATATTCCCAATTTGCCAGTGGCATTCAAAACATTTCTTTCTTTGTCATTAAATTATTCACGGTTAATCTGCTCTAAAGTCCACATAAATTTTAATCACTTGCTTATTACACCTGAATAAACATCTGAATCTTCACTTTAATAAGGTTCTGCTAAGTCATAGTGAATGTTTTCTATTCCATAGGGACTAGAATTCGCCGACGTCGTTCCTTGCCAAGTAAGTGCAAATACACTGAGAACACAGAATTCAAATCAAGCGCGCTTTATTATAAAAACAAACGCGGTCGTGCACACTTTTGTAAATATGCGAAACCAGAAAACCAGATATCAAACATTGGATTGTTCTCCCCCTTCGACAAATAGTTCTATATTACACCCTTATTCGTACTATGAAATATGCCGTCGAGAAATAAGATCCAGGGGCGTAGGTAGAAAGAGTAAAAATACAGTGAACAACCAATACTAAAATCGTGTAATAAATATAATGTTTATTTATAATTTGTATTTAGCTACCCTATTACTGCAGGGCGCAAAAGTCTCAGTAATGATTATCTAAACTAAGTCAACTACATCACAACGAATAACTTCTATAAAGGTTATGTAAGAACACGGTTGAATCAAATACAAAAATAAAAATGTATCTTATAAAAGAATTAAATAAATATACTGAAAAATTTTAGTTAGGTATCATAATCTAACAGAGGTCAAATCTGTGAAAACTACCAACAAAAAAGACTTTTGTCATAATAATTAAGGTGATTGTGTAAAACATTTTTTGCCTTCTACTTTAAAATAGTACTATTAAAAATTTACACATTCCTTGTTTTAGAGATAATAGTGGTCTTATTATATCTTATTAATACCAAGTTTTCATCAATTTTTATTTTAAATCAGAACTCCAGTTTTATTTTCCCGGCGCTCTTGGTCTCTCGAACGATATTCCGTACTTCGACCCCTGTTTGTTCTGGGCTTTGGTCTTACGAGCAGCTTTATTTATTAATTAGGGGTTGTTGAAAGGAGTGGTTATGAATTTTGACACGGTTGGTTAGTCAAATCTCTCACTGATGATATGATTATGCGAATACTGCTATTCAGTTTACTTTAGTAATAAAATCATTTTAGCAGGTATCATCACAGGTACATGAGCAAACATGATTATAACATCTGTTGAGTTTTCATAGTAAATTGGAATTGATATAGAGGAAAATGAATTATTTAAATTTGAATCGACTGTTTAAGAAAACACTATTTTAATATATAATTTATATATTATAAGTATAATTTATCTTATAAAGTAGTATTTAAGTGTAGTAGTGACAATTTCGTCATTAAGCTGAAACTTTTTCAAAAACGATCTCAGCGAGATATATGACTCATTTTTTTTTTTGAATACAAATTCTTTACTCATGGAGAAGTGGCACAATTTTATAGCTTGGCGGCTATTTTAGCAGCGCAACTTACTCTGTGATTGACGAATATAATCGTCATGAACTCGAGGTCGTATATCACCTTGTAGCGACGTCTTAAGAATTAAGATAATGGTTTCGCATTTTTAACTTCCCGTAGGACAAGTTATAGTAATCGCAAAAAAATCGAAGATGAAAATTTTTATATATCTTTACGTTTCAGAGGTTTCTGAACATTTTGGCATACCTTAGAAAAAATTGATGTATGTGTGTGTGTGTATGTGTGTGTGTGCGTGTGTGTGTGCGTGTGTGTGTGTGCGGATACAAATTTTTGTCGACGATTTCGGGAACACGGATGAAGCGATTTTAATAATTCAAAAAACATTCGATTCGTATTGATAAGAAAACGTGCTGATTAGTTTTTGGCAAAGGCAGGTCTAGCCGTTCCGAAGATACGGGGCAAAAAGTGCCAAAAACGGTAACTCAGTTTTTAAGAGAACGGATCGTCCGATTTTAATAATTCAAAAAACATTTTACTTGTATGGACAAGATAAAGAACAAATTTTCATAAAAGTAGGTCTAGCGGCTTCGAAGATCTAATGAAAAAATAAAAAAAAAATACCATTTGGCGGTTAAAAATGATCATTAGACATATGCACATCAAATTATCAGATATTTTATAGAGATTTTGAAAATAAGTATAAATTTTGTTTATATTCCTATGGGTTCCATACCAATGTTTACGCGTTAGACGGTGACGCATTGCTTACGCGCTTCATTGTTTCGTCTTTATGCAGTTAAAACAGTACGATTGCTTTGAGTTCAGAATGTCCAAAATATTTCCAAATAAATCTTTTAAGATAGAATGATTTAATATGGTTCGAATTTCTATTAAAAGTTTCAAATCATTGATCAACTTTTATTGATTATTATTGATTATTTTTAATTACCCGAATTTTAAATTGCGGTACAGGAAGTTCCAGCCCTTAAGACAGAATTTCATTCACAGCTAGTTTTCTTCTACTTTGAAATAGTATCGTTAAAAAATTCTACACTTTACTTGTTTCTGAGATTATGTTGGACCGTTGGATCTTTTTACTCGCTGACTTTGTAGCCTGTTGAAGGCATGAAATTTTGTCATACCCACAACTTTTAAACTGTGACTTGCAACACAAATAAATAAAAAGCGTTCTTGTCTTTTATTACCGAATTGTTCAAATTACCTTGATACATTGTTATGAATCAATATACTCGTATCATGATGATGCCACTAAGCCGAACACGCGATACTCATCTTTCCATAACACCTGGTCTTACGTATCGGAATCGGCAATGACTCCGAGCCTCTACCTCTATCGTCATCGATAGAGGGTGCACATGAGCTACCCTAAACTGACTCCTCGTATATAACATCAAACACCCTTTTTAACAGTACCTACCAGGTCGGTCGCGTGACGTCACGCGCTCGTTTTGCCCGAATTTAAATGCCAACGATCTCTATAGATCACACAAAAGCCAACTGTTGTTCCATATGATGACTATTTAAGTCATAGTGGAAGTAAAAGATTCCCAATGTATGAAGTACAGAAAATGATACTAGGTGTGCAGGCATTGCGGCTTTAAGGCGAATTGCTGGAACTTCCCGTACCGAAAACTAAATTGTTAAACAAAGTTTGACAAAATTAGATTTTAGAGAAAGGCTAAACCTGCCTCTGCCAAAAACTAATCAGCACGTCTCCTTATCAGTAGAAGTCGAATGTTTTTTGAATCATTCAAATCGGTTGATCCTTGTTTTCAAAATCGTCGACGAAAATTTTTATCCGAACACACACATACACGCAAACATACATCAATTTTTTCCAAGGTATGCTAAAATGTTCAGAAACCCCTGAAACGTAAATATATATAAAGATTTTCATTCTAGATTTTTTTGAGATTATCCTATAGAAAGTTAGTAAAATATTGTAAGGTATTGTTAGTAAGTATTGTAAGATATTGGAAGATGTAAAAACAATTTTTGTTTGTGACTTCATATTTATGATTTATTTTGAAACGGCTAGACAAATGTATTTATTTTATTTTTGTAAATTAATAAATTTAACACTAAATATATTAAATTTTTGGTATTTTACTTATATGATTGGATTTTTGTACATATAAACAAACCTAGCAAAAATGTTATCATAACTGCATCTTTGTGAAGCGCATTTATAACATATATTTTCATATGTAAAACGCCTGCTCGTATAGCAAGTAGATAGCGTTTTCACAGTTTTTAGTACCAAAAAATAAAGTTAAGATAGCGTTGTCATAACAACCCTATGTTATTGTCTATGTTAAGGCAGTATAGACCTCATATTTTGGTTATTGTCCTTAATATTGAACAACAATTTTCTTAGTTAGTATAAATGATATTATATGTATTACTGATATTTTATTATTTTTCCTAGGTTATTTAAATTATTATCTATTTAACCCTCAATCTATTCTTAAAATTGCACTAAAAGTTGTTGGTTTGATACAAGAAAATTGAAGTTTGTTATATTGAAGATGAATATGAGCAAAAATATCATCTAACATATATATTAAAACCCGCTGCGATAAATTAATTATATTTTTAAAATTTATTATATAAAAATCAGATCAGTAGGTAATATTTGCAACGACCAACAACAAAGACTAAGGTCTCTAAAATAATTGATTACATGTATTGAATTTTATTGTCTACTAATTTTAGTATTAATTTAGTATTAATTAATTAATTGTATATCATTTTACATATAAAATTTTCATTTATGTTTCATAGTATTTAAATTAAATTGTTGGAATGGAAACGTTCAAGAGTTCTTTAAAAATATCTTTATTTGTTCGCAGGTTATTATAAGTTGAATACTGCACCAATCAAGAAAATTTGCAGAGGGAAGAAATGGTAAGTTTACACTTTACATTATTTTATTTTGTATAGAACAAATATATTATTATTATCAGTGATATGAGAATTCCGAATTTACTTTACCAGAATTTTCTACTAGCTCAAATCAATGCAAAATTTACACATATTGCATAAACTAGAAAAACTATGCAAGGTTATGATATTATTATTGTAGCATATAGTAAAATATGTGAAAAATATCCTAAACCCACACAATGCTATTGCAAGTTCAAACTAATTTTACACCAAATTCCAACATGCAAGTGCATATAACAGTTTTTAGTAATTTTTTTAAATTTTATCTAGTTTTTAAATATGTAATTGAAATAAAATGTCCGGGAAGAAAATTTCAAGCTTTTAGAAAAAATGTGAAAAATGTCCAAAATCCAACAATTAAAGTAAAAATATTTATCATGTAAAAAATTAAAATTATATCCACTCACTTACTTACTGTATTATGATTGACAGATTATTAGGAGGATAGACATAAATTGTTAGAAAAGAAGATCAGACGAGTCCTTGTAAAAAAATGTATATTTTTTAAGGAATGTGGGTAACAGATTATTAAGAGGCTAAATAGGAATTGTTCAAAAAGATCAGACGATTCCTTGTAAAATAAAATGTATCTTTTAAGAGGATGACAAATTATTGGGTGATGTGGATGACAAATTATTAGGAGGCTAGATATAAATTGTTAAAAAAAAAAACAGACGAGTTCTTGCTAAGTAAAATGTTTATATTTTAAGGGTAGTGATGTGGGTGACAGATTATTAAAAGGCTAGATATGAATTGCTAAAATAAGATCTGACGGGTCTTTGTGAAATAAAATGTCGATTTTGACAATCTAAAAAATAATTGATAATAAATATATTTAACAAATTGTATCGCTAAAGTATTATAAGAATTTATATCACAATGAGTATGATATTAAGAGATTCGATTACAATTTGCGTCTAAGTATAGAGTAATGTTTAATTTCACTAAAAAGAATTTGTTTTTTTTTTTTATAAAAGTTGAAATATCAGTGGTATTAGAATAAAGTCGCGACCCTTGCACGATGCGCAGTATGATTATAGCGTACCTGTAGATATTATCGGCTCCGTGCCATCCGACCATCTAAATAGCGTAATAAGCCAGGGCATCTGGCACTGTTTGATGACTCAAGAGCAGGGAAAAACAACATTTTAAATACACAGCAATAAGACAAAATCCATTTCGAAAATAAATCCCAGAAACAAGTCTACAAACTAATCTCAACCCGCGAAATCCGTTCGCTTCGCAAATTGCTGCGTTTTCATCATAATATTTCATACACTATTCCTGCGCGGACTATATAAATTTCTTTATTTCTAATGAAAAACTGTAAACGCCCGTCACGTATCTCTGTCGAATACAACATTTTTAATTAACAAACGCATAAAATTATTCATTGAACACACACGTAGTAAGCAAATATCGCAAAAGCATGTAACATAAAAAATCGCAGTTTGCTTAATTAATTTTTTTATAACGCGTTTCGTACTTTCCGTACAATGATTGAAATGAAAGCGAGCACTGATGGATGACTTCATAGACAACCCGACCGGAGAAATAGAGTTTCAATTTAAATTTTATTATTTTAAATTGTATAAAATTCTACAGTATGATTCAGATGTCGAAAGTAATAAATTTGGTTTTATTTCCAAAACTGCTCATGCAAATCAATTAATATGAAATACAAAAATTGCGCCACCTGACAATAAAACAATAACTAGTTATGTCTTCTTTGAAAACTCGATATTTTTTGAAAGTTTTTAAAATCTTGGAAAGTTTTTGAAAACTGAAATTTTTCAAAAAAAAATTTGAAAATTTTGAGAATTTTGAGATTTCTTGAAAGATCTTCATGTCTCCAAAACCGCTAGACCTGCTTTTGCAAAAATTTTATCAATTCTTCTTTGCGTCATTGATTTGTAAAATTGCTTCATTGCAATAATAAGATATGGCAATTTATAGGATGAATAAATCTTATTTAAGACTTTTTTTAAACATATCAACCAACTAATTTATATAGGAATGTATCAAAATAATAAACATTGTGAAAATATAAAATACTGACTGACTGAAAAGAATATCATATTGCATCATTTATGCATTATTTTCTTCATAGATGTTTATATGAAAATCCTTAATAAATGAATTCAACGTGAATATAGTCAAATTTTATATTTCAAAATTAACTCTTTTTTACTAATTATAAATAAACAAGTAATATTATATGTTGTAGTTTTACAATCACTGCATTTCAATATCCATTTCCTCTCGAGATTGATTTTTGATGATTTTTATCCCAAAAAGTATAAGTATCCATACCCGTTACACAAACCAAATAAACATTTTACAGCCAATCTGTGCAAACATTACGACAGTGTAATCTAAGTTTTAATATCTTTTATAATAACCGGAGAAGTGATTGCGTTTTTAAATTAAGACGTGTATACACATTATAAAATAAAGTTAATCACTTCCACAGCCAGATATTCGTATAACGGACGACCGACGAAACGAACACCCTCAGAAATAATAAAAACACAACCGCAGCACTTTATTCGACTCCGAACTCGTAAAACTCCTATGAAGTGGTAAAAGTTCGGCATCAACTTTTGTTCATTAGAACTTTATGAACGTGCCCTCGCCTCTGTGTCGCGAGAAAAGAATTAAATACGAAATATTAAAGGAAAAATGGGAAGGAACGGTTCGGGAATACAGCTTTTTCGTAGCATGGATGGCAACGACATAAATAATAAATAGTGGGCCTGCTCGAAGGCAGGTCCATGGTATGGGAGCACCACAAATTAACGTTTACATTTATCTCCTTTTATCATTTCCACTATTATTTTGTTACTATTAATCACTTTTTATTAATTTATATGCATTTTCCTTTCCAAACTTCTGCTTCCATGCTTCTTGGTCTTGTGCTTCAGCTTTAAGTTCTCTATATTTTATTTTCTCGCGTAAGTCGTCAACCATCTGCTGTCTTTTTATTTCAAGTCTTTTGAATCCTGCTATTTTACCTTTGATGACGTCATGAAGAAGGCACTCATTTTGCAAAATTAGTTTGATCCAGCTTTCTTTCCTTTCCAGGATGGTACTCAGTAAAGCCCTTTTGGCGCCCAGTATTCTTCAGATTTCTTCATAGATAGACCTTGTCAGTCCACTTTATCTTATCCATTCATTTCCAGCACTACATTTCAGTGCTCTCCAGATTAGTTTTTGTTGGCTTTTTTAGAGTCTATGCCTCTGATCCGTGCAGAGCCTTGCTCCAGACATAACACTTCATTAGTCTTTTTTGGGGGCATCCATTAATCACGTGATCCACTTTTTAACGATAATTGGTTCTTTCCCTCCCCCTTAGTGATACGTCGTAATATTCAGAATTAAACCCCCCCTCCCCCATCAAACATCACGTGTATTTTTAGTTATGTAAAATTTTCCGAACAAATTTTTCAAATTTACGAAAAAACGTAACATTTTTATCTTTATTCAAAAATCTAATGTCTTTTCAACCATTCAAATCGGTTGATCCGTGCGTCCGAAAATGTGGACGAAAAATTGTATTCATAAATACACACTCATCCATTTTTTCTTAGGTATCCCAAAATGTTTAGAAACCTTCAAAACGGGAAGAAATGTAAAAATTTCTCTGGTTTTTGGACGATTACAATAACTTACCCTATGGAAAGTTAAAAAATCTCACGTTGTTGTAAATTATGTGCTTTCAAGTGCAACCTAGAGCTTTGGTAAAATAATCACCTTTTTTTGGTTATTGTCATAAAGTTTTATTAATTTTGCTTATTTAAACTTTGGAACTTTAACCAGCAGGACAGTAGTTATGACAAAATTTCAATGAAGAAGAAAAACGTTAAAGACAATGTTCTAAAACGCCTGTCGCCAGACAGAATTCCACTTACAGATAGTTATATTTTTTTATGAGAGGTTCTTTCACTTTTAAAAATGGAAATTGTTGGATTATCATTATCGCGGGGTTGTTTTTGCGTTATATTTGTGTCAGTTAGGAATAATTAGCTTGTAAGTTAGGTATAATTAGTTTATAAGTTAGTTTAGGTGGATTAGGGCTGCACAAATCGATACTTAGTAATATTTACACCATATCCATTTCCATCTGAAATGTTAGAAACGTAAATATGAATAGAAGTATCTATTTCTGTGGACTATTACGAATAGCCCCTTGCTTCCCTTCATTTTTCGAATTTTCGTGTCCGATGATTCAGGATGGCTTGGATCATCGATAAAACGAAGAATTAGCAATTCGAATTTTCTGGCAGAAACATGTACTTCAAAACCAAAACGATACAACGAATTTTTGTTTAGTATGAATTTCTATTATATACACTGAGTCAATACTAGTAATGTATTACTTTTTATAATTCGTTGATATTATTAATGAAGTGTCAATTTCGGGGGTGTCACGCATGGACACCTTGCTGAGCAATGTCGGATACTGTTTCGGCCGGATGTCGCTTTCTTCTGCCACGCGCCAACATTTTCCGGAAAGCTCGCTGCCACCAGGAAATAGGGGTTGAAATAATACTAAATATTTCCTGCATTAATTCGAAACCGTTTGCAATCCTATTATGTCGTTTATGTAATTGATGATTGTACAAAATTTGTTACCAATTATTGTAATACAAGGGAAAAATTACTATTGTTACCTGAATGTTCAACGCGATTACTATCAAACGATTTAAAATGATTTGAAACCTCGAGAAAACCTGAAATCAGCAGTTCATATTTTCTGTGGAAAACATAGACTTCTAATATTCTAGATGTTTTTAACAAAAAATCACATGGAGGGGTCTAGTAAGATATCACGTACCTAAGAAAAAATGGATTTGTGTTTGTGTGTATGTTTTTATGAATACAATTATTCGTCTACGTCTGCGGGCTCACGGATCAACCGATTTAAAGTGTTCAAGAAAACATTCGATTCCTATTGATAG